ATCCCCCTGGACTCAGAAAACAGCTCTGAGTTGACAGATGTATTGTCTGCCCTCCAGCAACTTCTATTTAATTGGGAAAACCAGAATATTAGCAAAGACACTAAAAATCACTATTGACAATAACTTCAAAGACCATAAACTGTGGTGAAAAGATAACAAGATTGTGGGAGGTACGGTCTTAAGAGCGACCTGATTGGAAAAGCTTTTGTATTTAACAGACTTTTTTTTTTTCAGAACCAGGGATTGAACTCAGGCCCTTACACTGCTAGGGAAGTGCTCATTCCACTGAGCCATCTCCCCAGCCCCTAAATGAGATTTTTTTGGTGGAAGCACGGATTGAACTCAGATCCTTGCGTTTGCCAATCAAGCGCTTATCCTACTGAGCCATCTCCCCGGCCCGTGGGAAAGCTTTTGAGTGAGGGTGAAAACTGAGTTGAAATCTGTAGGAAGAGAAGCAACGCGGCGACTGGCTGATGTGTGCTCTGGCCTCTGGAGCACAGAGGCCAAGCCTCTGAGGAGCAGGAGCAGCGGGGAAGGAACCCAAATGACGGTGTGCTTGGAAGAGGAGGGGGGCGGACAGAGGAAAGGGCCAGCATGGGGAGCCTTGAGCCACCAGGCCCAGGACCCGAACTTGGAAATTAGTTGAGAGCTTAAGGTGAGCTGAGATCTAAATCGCCTGCACACTTGAGAACAGGTTGCTCTTTAGGCTTCGGGGACACTCATTATTGGGAAGGAAGGGAGAACAGAAATAGTGCCTGAAGAGCCTTCAGACTCCTGGCAGCTAAGCCCTGTGAAGCATCCTGCTTATCGCCATGGAAACAGCAAGAAGCCCTGAGACTCTGGCCACGTTTTAAAGGCGCTATATGAAGACCTGCCCTTATACACATTCTGATGCTTACATAGTGCTTGTGTGCTTTTGCAGCCAAGTAGAATAGGTGGGGACGTGCTTTCAGTGTTACGGGGCAGGTTAATCTCTGCGTAGGGCTGGATCAGAGGGAATCCCTGATTAGGCTACTATTGGTCTACTGTAAAAGAAATGCAACCAGAAGACTAAAAAGTAACTTAGGTTTTGTAACAAAATTGCAATATTATCTGTCATCTGTCTTTAATAAACATTTTATTTTGTAGAATGTATACATGCAAACATATGTAGGCCTTGATGTAATGTGACAACACAATTGTATAAAAGGAATAGACAGATATCCAAATAAATAACGCCCGTGAAAAAGTAAAAATCAACTTAGCCGTATTTCTTTAAATACAGTATCTTTTGTGGAGATGAAAATTCTGGGATAAGGCTAGTCAAAAATGATTCAAGCATGTTATCTAGTAAATTATCAGCAAGTTTTAGATGACCATTATTAGATGTCTTTGAAGAAAGAGGTATATTATAATAAAAGTATTGGTAAACACCAACAGTAGCATTTCAGTTTAATAGTGATCTTCAGATGATCTTCGCTAAGTTTCTTTCAGTATCTCAGCCTAGAATTTTAGCGTAACA